AATAAACTCCACCACCAGTACCAGATGCCGCTTGCAGAGCTCCTGTCCCTCCTCTTTTTTCCTTACCAGCTTGTCACTTGGCAGCTGCTAAACATCAAGATCACGGCTTGGCTGTCTAAGAGCTTTCAATTCCCATCGTCGATCACGCCATATTCGAAGATTTAGAGCAGACTATACTCACCTCCATGCACATGCAAATGCCTGGGAATCTTTCTTTCTCTAGGTTTCAAACCCATTACTCGATTATCCTCTCCTTCATCCCCACCCTCAATATGTCTCATTCTTCGGGGCCCAGTGCCCAGCTTAAGACACAACCGCTGGTGTAAAAATGCACTGCTGCCCTTTTTTCCTTGAATCACAAAAAGCACATTCCTGTCGTCTTTCAAGTTAACACTAGCATCTGAGCCTAGGCTACTACGATGTTCATGCATTTGTTGTCTGATATTGCCGTGGTCAAGTCTTCCACCTCCCCTTCAGGCACAGACACGAAAAATGCGTACAAGCACCCCCGCACATACGCCGGTGACCTATATCTGGCTCATGTAACCTTTAGCCTTTAATTTCATATCCGTCTCACAGGTGGACTCCCCTAAGGTAAACATTTTGGCTGAGTCAAGGTTTGACTCTTCTCAGAGCAATAAGATTTTCTTGACTTTTCTTTGACCCTCATGACCGCTCCTTGGCAATGCCTCTTTCTGTTGTTGAACAGTTGTCCTGGGTCCAAGCGTCTTCTTTTTGATGTATTCGCTGAATCTCCAAGTGTGCCCGGGCAGTACGCGAAATTATCGCTGACTCTTCCCTATTCAAATCTCCTCTTCATCATGTTTCTTTAAAAGAGAATTTCCACAGCCCACTGGATCTTCCGTTTTATGGTGTTCTCCCCATATGAGACCAGTCTTTTCGTTGCACTCCAATCAATTGTGTAGCCGATGAGAGCAATGTGTTTAGCTATCCCCGATTTTTCCGTATCCATTTTTCTGAATAGCGTCTGGTGTTCTCTGATCCTTGTGCTGATTATCCTTCCTGCTTCTCTGATATATTTTTGTTACAGTTCTTGCGGTTTATACTGTAAACTCCGGAGCACTCCATTTTTTGACTTCTTCATGCTGTTCAGGCAAGCTGGTGAATAAGATTGTCCTTTCCTTCAGGGTTGTACCAATGTTTAATTCCCCTAGTATTGGTCGTAGCTTCCGAGCCAAATTGCAGGAGGGTAGACATATCCATAATTTTTCCTCTACTGCTCTTGCTTTCCTTTCACAATCTTCGCCTTTCTATCTGTTCATCACCATCCGTATGTTGCGTTGTATTGCTTCTTCTGGATATACATTTCCAAGAGACAGCTGAGCTAGTTTTTCCAGTTCCTCTTCCCAGAACTCAGAGTCTGTGAATCGTAGGCTTCTTATAGCCATACCCTGGAGTATTCCAATCTTCATTGTATAATTATGGTTAGACTGGAAGTTAAGAATTATTCCAGCATGCGATTTCCTTCGGAAAAGTCGTTTCTTGAGAGTTTCCTCGGAGCAAACGACTTCCACATCCATACTGAACTTGACTTTTTCATCAATTTCGTTTATGAAGGTCAGGAAATCGTCTAATTTTTCTTTTCCATGCGGCTAGATTTCGACATAGTCATCCAAATATCGCGTAATTACTATTGGCTATTCAGGTGATATTTTGCAATCCTCCTTCAACTTGTCCATGCAAATATTAGCTAAAAGAGATGAGTGGTGATCCTATATGCAGACCAAATATTTGCTTGCAAATGTGGCCGTTGAACATGAAACATATAGTCCTTACTGTTAGGTTAATTAATCGAATTACAGACTCTACGGACTCGCTCCATCTTTAAGGTGTCATCTTCTTTTTCTAAGATCACTAGTGCTTAGTGCTTTTTCTGCTGAGGTGATGATGTATATGGACTGTAAATGAAAGCTCATCAAAAGTTCGTTCCTTTCCAAACTGGCGCGTTTGATTCTTATGCAAAATCCATATGAGTTCTTCACTGTGTTCTATAAGCTGCCATTAACCTTCTCTAATCTGAGGCACATAGCATTTGCTAAGTTATGTATTGGTCCATGTTTGTTGCTAACTATTAGTCTTAATGGCTGTCCTTTATGTGCCTTCAGCAAGCCGTAAGCTACTGGGGCTGTTGCATCCTTTCGTAAGATTGAATTCATTACCCATTTGTTAATTTCTCAACTCATATTTCTTTCTTTCTGCATTTCCTCCAGCGTCCCTTTGATTTTAACTGTTGGATCTTTTGCTAGCAATCGACAGGTCCATGTCTCCAAGACCATTTTCTCCGTATATTTTTTCCTATCACCACTCTCAGCTGGTAGGATGTCGAACGTTTCGACTTAATTTACTATATATCTTGATTATATTGTTCCTATCCGGAGCCACTACCCCACCGAAGTTCAGAGCTGAAAGAGCATCAAGTCTACCCAGTTAACGAGACAAACTTATTGCCTTTTGATTTGACGGAGGTATTAAAACGAACAATGGAATCTCATTTCACCCCACTTCAGATAGTTACATGTCAAGAATAAAGGGAACCTTAATATCACCATAAACATAAGTTAAATATATGGATGACTATTCTGCAAGGATAGATCGGTGCTTAATTAAGTATATGGATAGTAATAAAAGTTCACGATGGAAATGGACAGGGATAATTACCAAACACATTTGGATGCTCTAGTCGTCAGAAGAGAAAAGGTTGGGCAGGGAGTATACATAAGGCCAGTACGTGCAAGCTTCATCACGTCCCAGATACAAAATGGAGGTTGATTTCTTTGGAATAAACACTGAGTATAAAATTATTTGAGAAGCAGTTGCAGTAAAGGCCCAGATATGCTTGAACTAGTGATACTTTGGAACGATTGCCCCCTTAGCTTGAGAGAAAATAACATAAGCTTACGAGCGAATACATTTACAGTAAGGGAATATTTGAGGTGAAAAGCGTAGGTATTTGCTCAAATACTGAATTTGTCTTCGTGCACTCAAAGTGAAAAATAAACGAAATAGCAAGGAAGTAGGGGATAAGTATTTACAGAGAAGCTGTCACTTTCTATAATCATACTCACTTTTGTGAAAATATAATGCATTAACCAGATTAGGCAGCTATAAAATAATGTACTCATATGATCCCTTTCGTGTGAAGACTTGTCTTCCCATTCGACAAAGAGCGAATAGATGCAGGTGCTTGCAGAAACTTTTCAACTATTAGAGGTGGCGGAAAACGGAAAGAATCGGGGCAGAATAATCTAATACTTGTCGATTATGCTGTGTGCAACTAAGAGTAAAATAGGCCATGAGAACCAACAAAATAGGCAGTCTTAAGTGACAATAATGCCAGTAAAATATTAACCACTTAAACCCAATCAACAGACCCAGAAGAGATGGTGTCGGTCAATATGAATTAAGGTAATATTCCCTAGTACAAAACATTATCTATGCATCTTAATTCACCCTTAAAGAGAAAAAGCACGTTTACTCAACTAAGCGTGTCCGAAACTGAACAGGGTAATATTTAAACAATAATTAAATGCAGGGAATCGGCAAGCCTCGACGGACGGGACAGATGTAAAGTTCTCACCAAGTTACTCGTAGCTAACGTTGCTAGTTTTGTAGACTCGTATGCACAAAGGCACAAAAACATACGCACCAGTAGGCCCACAGATCTACACATTAGATGAGACAACCAAATCACTGTGTATTTAATAAAGGCGTAAGATTTAGGGAACATTTACAACACGTAAAAGTAAGTTGATACATTTTGTTGACTCTCATTAAGTTGGTTGTAAGAATTATACCCTGATCTGAGAATGTCTGTCAAGCGAGAGACGAAGGCCATGCAAGTTCCCACCGAAATCGGAACTTCCTGTGGGCATCATCAAGCACAACACCCGACAACTGGCTAAGATGAATCCGCTGCCATATTCTCATTGGGATAAGTTTCAAGTATTTTCGCTCGGAGTTGAAGCAGCCGTAACATGTGCAAATTAAGAGACCAAACTATTTTATGCAGATAACAACCATGCTCGGAAGTTTATTCTTGATACATCAACTAAAATAGGTCTTAAAGCCAATAAATAGACGGGTTCGCAACATTGTGCCCAGTTTGCGATATTCCATTAATAAATCCAAGTACAAGTACTGCAGGGAGTTCCGGAAGAAGCAGTCCAAACTAACATGAAGTGTAATGGGGACAACAGTCCGGTAAAGCCAAAGATAACGAATGCCATTGGCACAGAACTCACACTCGTCATATTCCTTTGCATAAACCTAGTAACTTGAGAAATACCCGGATTTTTTCGGGAATTTTTCAGCATTTGTAGGATGATTCGAATTCACTTTAGGAAGGCAAATTTATTCCCAAGAAGAATGCCCGTAATCGAGACATACACAAATGGGGTAGATGATGATCAGAAGATAAGAGGCCAAATCTGAATGTAGTGACTTGGGTTAGGCTGAATCTCTTATTCGAATGTATTTCAAGGTAAACCTAAGCACTAAGAGGCATCTTACATACAATAAAGAAATTAAAAATCCGATTGCAACTATATTAAGCTGCTTTTAAGAGCGAATGCATGAGGTGCTATATTATAAGCGTAGATTAGCCGGAGAGTTCAGCCTCCTGCTTAGTCCACAATATGTTCGCTCGCTCGTGGTACTCTTTGACACAATGTTTGAAGTACTCTCTGGCATTAAATATATCAGTTTCTTTAATAGACGCTTTTGAAGTGATGGCACCTCTTGCGAGCTTGTCATATTTTTGATAAACTTTATCCATTTCTCGCTTTGAATGATTGAGGAGTTCTTTACCTGGAAAAAAATAAAATTGGACAATTCTGCTTGAGTATGTTAAAGCTCATTTGGGAGATAAAATGAGAACATTTAGAAGTAGGTTTCAAAACTGTAATCATATAAAAGCTTTAAATGTGATAATCCTTTGATAATACGTGTATTCAGAACAATTATTCAGTACTAGACTAAATATCGATAATGCAATAATAATAATAATATATTAGAGTGAAGGAATGATATATCTCAACAAGGCAAGCCTAACCTACCATGTTTAATCATCTCTTGCCGACGCTCACGTGTTACAATACCTCCTATAGAAACTGCAAAGGAAGTTGGACCTGCAGATTGAAGACTTTCTCTTGGCAAGCCGATTTGCTCCAGAAAGTGCATAATACTGGCCTTAACATCAAGTACAAGTTCGGGTCTTGCTGACACATCGACTATCACCAAAGTGCTGTCTGTGTGTGATCCAACACCATCAAGTAACTCCACTTGTTTGTTTTGTCGTACAAATTTTGCTATCTCACCCAGATGCAAATTTTTGTGATTATGAATCTGAGCACACAAAAAACTTAGGTGAACTCGCACAGCAATAATAACTTGGACATAGAAAACTTGAATACCTGAATATCATAAAGCATTTCGGGAGATACCCTGAGGTTAAGCTTGCGGACGATTGTTTCAGCGAAATTCTTAAGCACTTTTCCATACTCCTGAAGCATGGCTTCTTCCTGCAAATATTCACGCACGGCTTTAGGAACATGGCCTGCGGTTACTGTACCTGACTTGGAAGAACCTTTGGATTTGAATCTAATGCTTGCTAAAGTCGGTGTAATATAAAGAGGGGCCCAACATATTGGAATAAAGGGTAATGACGGAAGAAAAAAGAGGGAGGGTGAACGCACGAGACGACCAAAGATCAGGCAAATTGCGCGCTGCATCCTCAAATAATTTAAACTTATTGTCAATAAATAAATAAATATTATTTATTTTTTGTAAAATATAAAAGTGAATTTTATTCATAATGAATTGTAGTCGAATTTGTTGTGGCAAATCGCACACGTCTTATACTCCCTTATGGACCCTCTTAACGCTACATTGCCGGCCCTTAATGCAATTTTAAATGCCACATTGGACTCGACTTTAAATGCAACTTCTAGGAATCCGCCAACCTTAGGAGGGCTGGTTCTATCTTCCATAAGCTTATTCCTAATGGCAATAGTGCCCATATACTTTGGCTCATTCAGGTCACTAAAGCACCAGGCTCAGCAAAAGGTTTGCGATTTGATTAAATATGTGCCTTAGCAAGCCGGATTGCCTGTGGAAGTTCTTTCAGCTAAGGATGCCACGTT